ATAGAAATAGAAAAATCTCCCGAATTTGAAATTCAAGAATCTCTATCTCTCGCTTTTTCCCCATGTTTGCTTTTGTTTTTGGTTAATTTTTCTTTATCGTCTTAAATAAAGGGAAAGAGAATACCGAGATTTTTTTTTCGCTTTTGCTTAAAGTTTCGAAATAAAGCCACAAATCGAGTGATATACAGAAAGAGAGAAAAGAATATAAAAAAGGAAATGGTAAATGAATGAAAATGAATTTTCTTTTATTTTCTCTTATTTTGCATCGTCATTTGAATATTATTTAAATTAGCTTGATTAAAACGAAAAGAAGAAGAAGAGAAACGACTAATAAAAAGTAGGCAAATAAGGGAAGAAAAGAAAAGATTCCCGAAAAAAACTAAGAAACCAAGCACAAATATAACCGATTAGGTTAATATTGGCAAATAAGCCTTTAACCGCCTATCATGGAATAATTTCTTCTTTTTTGCTTTAACAAAACACACAGAGAGATACCAGAGAATGAACAAGAGAGGTTAAATAACCAGGATAAATAACAACCAGAAAAAAAGACGGTCATTAACACAGTAACAGCCGTAACTGTAATAAATAGCCCCGAAAAAACAAAAAACAAAAAACAATAAGTAAGTCGGTTATATTAGGCAAGAATCAGAAAAAAAACACAGACAGAAAAACAATATGTGTTTTTTCTGTGTTGTTTCGCCCAATCAAAATACTCAATCAATTATGGTTGTATGAATGTAAGAAATGAGAAAATTTCTTCATTTTCTTCATTTTCTTCTCCTGGATGATAATGATTCAAGGAATACATATATATATGGGGCGTCATATTTATAAGTATTTTTTTTCATTGTTTTTAATATATGAATATATTAACAACAACAACAACAATAACAATTAATTTGTTCTAAATGTTTTCTTCTGCTTGGTGGAAAAAGAAAAGTTGAACCAAAAAAAATGGTTCGTTTAGCCCAATAAATTATTTTGAAATGGTATTCAAAGCAACTAAGCAAAAAACTGGTACTGGTGATTAGCATTCATTAAAAGCTAAATTTCCTTTTTTTCCTTTTTTTGTTGGCAAAAAGAAATTGAATAAAGACATTTTATCCAGATGATGATGAAAGCTAATTGCCAAGTATTTCTTTCGTTTTTCAAAGCTGTCATCATATTGTTGTTGTTGAGTGGTGGACTACCCCCAGAAGAAAAACTTATTCTGGATGATGATGATGATGACGATAAAGGAGAATAATTATCATATGTAATTGAGGCAAAATCCCAAGAAATCCAGAAAGAAAGAAAACCACCATCAACGCCCCCAAACACTCCCAGGAAACAAATAAACAGAAAAAATAGGAAAACAGAATCAGTGAAAATAAGAATCTAAGCATCATCCAAAATGATGAATAATTTACAATCGTAAAAAAACAAAACGTAGTAGTAATGAATGGAATAAAGAAATTCAAATGGTTTTTTGTTTGTGTGTGTGTGATAATCATTGGGGAGAACCAGAAAAGAAGAAAAGTCGTTTTGGTTTTCAATTCGTTTAGTTTCGTTTTGTTTTGTTGGTTATTTATTTATTTCATTCAGATTATCATCTGTCTGTGTCTGTACCAATGATAATAAGAGAATGATAATAAAAACCAATGTCTATGCAAAACACACACATTGGACAAAAAAAACCGCAAAAACCACTGCCAGTGAAACAATAATAACGACGAAAATTGAACAAATTAAATGAATAAAATAAAAATCATTGTGATGTGATTGGAATTTTGGTTGGGGGGAAGGGGTGGAATGAAAACGAAAGAATCCCTTGTTTTGAATCATGGTTGTTTCTTGCACTTTTCAAATTGTCCGCATTGTTTTCGGATTGTTTTTCTCGGTTATTATATCATAACTAGGAAGTAGATAGGGAGAGAGAGTGAAAAAACATTTCGGGCAAATTGGTTTTTTTTTACTCTTATCATTATTATTATGAGAGAGAGAAATTCTAATTAGAAGTCAACATTGTCATCAAGCTTGTATCATATATGAACGAACAGATTTCAATGATGATGATGATGATAGCTTTTTTTTGTAATTTAAAATTGAAAAAAAAACAAATTTAAATAACCTATAGGGACAAAATGGTTTTTTTTATTGGCAACAAAGGTACATCAAAGGTAAATTTCCAGGCAATCAATTTATATTTTCGGAAATATTTTTTTAAAGAAAAATAAAAAATTTCAATTTTCCTTCTGACAATCATTGATCATTTTCCCAGAGAGAGAGAAACAAGAAAAAAATTACTATGTTGATATTTTTCATCGTTCATTATCTGATGAAACAAACGAAACGAACAAACGAACGAAGAAATCGACTAATAAGAAAATTCAAAAAAACGAAAACGAAAAACTATATTAAAATCGATATTAGACAAAGAAATAAACGAAACGTATCGATTCTTTTCAATTCTGTAATACTGATATGAATATATACACAAATCAGTTCTTCATCCCCCCACGCTCGCTTACCACGATTTTTTTTTGCAATCAAAATTTACATTATAATAATAAAAATGAGAATATTGAGAATTGAGAATAACATGGACTAAAGAATCCTAAAGGAGAAAAAAAACCTAATTGAGAATGAAATTGAAAGAATGTTGCTAGTATAACCAAAGTATATGTGAATATAGCATATGATCAATATGAGAGGGGGAAATCAAAGATAGATAAGGGAAAAACCACTGTATTGTATTGGTGTAGTTTTAAAAGATTTTTTTCATTCTTCTTCTCATTATATTCATTGGGATTCTTTTTGACTTTCTGCTTTGTTTTGGTTTTCATAGTCATTTTCAGTCAATCAGTCGATCGGTCGGTTCCATTGGATGGTCGTTTGTTTCCATCTTGGCAATAATATTCTTTTTCTAACACAAGTTCTGCATCAACTAAGAGAGAAAAAACGAATAATAAGAACAAACGAATGAACGAAAGAAAAAAAAAACAAATTAATAAAGTCAAGAAAAAGACAAGAAAAATCAATAACAACCCGAACATGAAAATCATGAAACATGGAAAGAAGAAAAAAAAAATAACAATAACATTCTCTCTCTCTCTCTCTCTTCGTGAGTCCGACGGAATAGGAAAAAAAGGAAAATTCTCATCCCAAAAACATAGTTGCAAGTTGAATGAGATTTTTCTTTTTTTCTTTTTTGAATGAAACCATCAATGATGAGAAACAAAACAAAAAAAAAACAATAAATAACAACAACAACAAAGATCAATACGGTAATAAAGTGGGTGTTTGAAGGGAAACAAGGTCATTAAATTTTTTCTTTGTTTTTTCAAAAGGAAAAAATAAAGAAAAGAAAATGATTTTCTTTCTTTAAACAAAAATCTGTTTCAAGAACAACAGTGGATACACTGTGGAATATTCTTTGGATATTCGGTTGGAGTGATGGCCAATTAAGTTTTCTCGCACTCTCTTTCTCCTTATGAAAAATTCAAATTAAAATTTTCAACGAAAAAAAAAAAATTTCATTTCACAATTTTCCAAAAAATTCACAAATAATGTATCATACATCATCATCATATGAATTCTTGAATTCTTGAATTATTCAATTCAATTTTTCAATCCATTCATTCGGTTATCTGATGATGATGATGATGATGATGGTAATCGGGTAATAATGATACATAGTCAGAATACATTAATAAAAAACCCACATACACACACAATAGATGAATGAAAATAGAAATGTATGATAAAGATGTGTGTTTGGTTGGTTTACTTTTTCATCATCATAACAACAATCGAGCATATTTATTTCAATAAAAAAAAAGAAAAAATTCATTCTAAAATCTAGATGGATCATCATCATCATTATTATCATCGTCATCGTCATCATGCCATTAGCCATCGTGTTTTATGCATACATTTTATCCATAAAGAAAGAAAGCAAAACACACAGAGAATATATCCAACAGAATATATTCTCCATAAGTGACAACCAAAACCATTGAAAGAAAAAAAACTAAATAATAGAAGTAGAAAACACCACACCGATGATGATCTTGATACTATTATTAATCACAATTTAATATACCAACCAACCAAAATAGATAGACTGATGATTATGTTAAGGGAAAAATATTTTACAAAGATACATCCAGTTCCAAGAAAGAAAGAATGGAAAGTGAAGAAAAAATCCAGATGTAAAGACGTATTTCAAATGAATGAATGAATGGATTGAGCTAATATAAAAAAGAAAAAGATGAATTGTATTTTATTTCCCTTTATTTCTTCTTTTGGCTAGTGTTAATAATATTGTTATTATAACAAGATCCATATTGAATATTAATAATTTTATTATTATTATTATCGTTAATATTTTATTCAGTCAACAACAACAACAACAAATAATGATTATGATGATGATGATAATGATGATAATGGTCGTCGATTCTTCTTCTTCATCATTCTTCCCGAATATTTTCTATTGTTGTTGTTGTTGTTGTCGTTTTTTTTTCTATAAATATTATGCAAATGATCACCATCACCATCATCATCATCATCAAGAGGAACAAATTTTATGTTTGTTTGTTTATTTGATATTAAAAAAAAAATCATTCTAGTTTTGCAAAGTAGTATTGAAGAATACTGTATTAGTAATTATGATCTGATCATCATTTTGACCATCTTGTCGATGGTTTTTTTCTTCATTTCAACCGTGGTTCAACACCTTGATCATATTCGACCATAATTAATTATCATTAGCTGATCATCATTATTATTCTTTTTTTGTGGACAAAAAAAGAAACAGGTAGCATCTCTAAATCAATGAAAATAAATGATTTTTAATAATAATAATAATAATAATAATATAATGTAATGGTCGAATGTAAAAAAATGGTTACAAAAAAACAAATCATCATTTATCATCGAGTTATTATAAGTCGAAAAAACGGAAATAAAAATATTACAAATTAATAATGATGATGATGAACCAACAAAAAACGCCATCTATTGAGTGAATTTGTTTTGATTTTAAAATTTGATTTGAGTTTTTTTTGTTCAAGAGCTTTTTGCTGTTGTTTTGTTGATATTTGTTTCATTTTTTTCTGCAAAAATTTTAGCCAATGATCGATGATCAGAAGGTGTAAAATATCCCATTGTAAATTTTTCCAATTGTTTTACAACATTTTGATCTAATTTAACATAATTACCATATATTGAATAGAAAAGATGTTTTTTATTAATTGAATTCATTTTTTCATGTTGTAAAAACCAATTATTAAAATTTTTTTCCAATTCTTTATAACCATATATGGTATTAGTTTCTGAAAATAAACTACGTATTGTAATAAAATCAAAATTACTACCACTATTAATAGTTGATGATTGATCGGATAAACAATCATCAATTAATAATAATGGTAAACATGGTTTACAATTACTATCCATACCAATACCGATTAATGGTTCATTTAAATATTCTTTCAACATTCCAACATGATAGGCAATGAATTCAATTTCATTTTGAATTTTTCGTAAAAATTCATCATTATATGGACAATTATTCCGAAGTATATTTGGATCAATATTTTGTTTTGAATTTGATAACTGTGTTTGAAAAGCATTATCAACAATTTCAATACCCATTAATGATGGATGATCATGAATTTTTTCGATTAATGGTTTAATTATTGTTTGTTTAAAATTTTCTGCATTCAATAAATTTGATGGCATTGCCAAATCGCTGAATTCTTTATGCGACCAAAATGTTAACATTATATATTGATTTTTTGTATATGCCAGATCTAAAAGTTCTTCAACAATATCGATCCAAAGTATTATATCATTGTTTGTTCGTTTTCGTTGTCCATTCATCCAAAAATTCCACATATCTTTATCCATTAAAAATAATTTTATTGCATGTTTTGTTTTTGGTACCACTTGTGTTGGTGGCATTGAATCACCTAATGATGAAAGTATTTTAAAGAATGGAATTTCTTGTCGAATCAGAATATCTGTTACTTCTAAACCGATCAAAAAGATTGGTTCGTTTATCTGTGCCGATTGTTCTTTCGAATCACAATGATTAATAACCAATTGACCATGATCATCGCCATTTTGAATAATTAATTTATCCGGTATATATTTACGATAATGTAATGAACCAAAATTATTCCATAAATAATCCATTTTGATCAAACCATCATTATCATGACAATATTGATAAAATTTTAAAAATGATTCCATTGTAAACATTGAATCGATTTGTTTGAAAATTGATGGAAATTTATCAATCCATTTCATTTGATCATTCAGATATATTATATCATTGGCGGTTGTATGTGATAAACGAAATTCCTGGATTTTAAACCATGGTATTAATGATTCATATTGAAAAAATTTAAAATTATTTCCATAAATATATAAAACATTTAGATTGGGTAATTTTTCAACAAGTTTTTTGGGTAATATTCTTAAACAATTATTACTTAAATCTAATTGCCAAAGTGATTCAAATGTTTCTTCAGATAATAATGATGTTATCCATTTAAGATTGGTTAATTGATTATTTGAAAGAATAATACGACGAAATTGTTTAGCTTTTCCATTAAATGCATTTCGATGAATATAATTAAGTTTTGATTGTTTTATTATAAGAGTATGTAATTTTTCCAATTGAACACTGTTAAAATCTTGATCAATTATTTGTAAAAAACAAGATTCAAATCTTAATATTTGTAATTGTGAAAATTTTTGCATTATAGCAAAATTAAATGCAACCGGGTCATTAAATACTTCATTATTTGACCATTCAATAAATGATAATGATTTTATTTCACTTGTATCAAACCAATTGAATATTGTTGGCGTTTTTCGATCCGTTAGTCTACCAGTAAAACCTTGTAATGTTAAATGATTAACAGAAATGATTGGAATATTTTTCGAAAATTTTGTTGATTGTAAATCATCTTTTCCATCATTTTTAACATTAATTATCAATGAATTTAATATTGGATATTGTTTGTTTGGAAATTTTTCATCCAATATTGCTTCGGATTTTGTACAAACTAAACTATTAGTTAAATGTGCTTCACCATCATCTACTGATTTAAAAAATCAATCAGAAATTAATTCAAAAATCAAAAATAATAATTCAAATAAACATACCAAGTGGTGCAGTAAAACATTGACAAAATTTTGGACATTGTTCCGATGGTAATTGTGGCTGTTCAAAACAAACAAACGTAAAAAGACAATATGTTTTGATTAATAATTGTAATGGTGAATCTTGCATGATTTTGTTTGATTTTTGTATGAAGGAATTACGGTAACATTCAAAACATTTATTTGTTTGGTTTTGTTTTGTCAATGCGTTTCTGTATGTAATTTTTCTTCTTCTTCTTCTTCTTTTTGTATACGACCAAAATATTTAAAACAGCAACAACAACAACAACATTATCTTTTATACAAGATCTATAGATCTGTTTGTACATTGGTAGGAAAAAATTAATAATGATAATAAATCCATTTGTCATCACCAATGTTTTTTTTCTGCTGTTTGTTCAATTGTCAAGTGGATTATAATGATTATGAAAAAAAAGAGAATTGGATTGCAATAACAACAACAAAATCAATAAATCATTTTTATAATTTTAAACCAACAATGTAATAGATAAAGAGATAGATAAATGTTCAATCCCAGAAATCAATCATAGATAATGATAATGTCGTCGTCGTCGTCGTCGTTGTTTCTTTTTCTTTTTCTTTATCAAAATTCTAATCAAATGTTGATGAAGAAAAAACTTTTTGAAAAAAATGATAAATTAAAAGTTCAAATATCGGCTGCTAGATGGCGGTGAATACCGTTTTTTCTTCAAAATTCGAATATGAAGAAACGAATGAAAATCAATGTTAACACACACTCACATTGACATCGAATGCGAATTACGCGATAAAATTAATTTTGAAAAAAATGATTTTTTTTGATTAAATGAAAATCCCAGACAAACAAACAACAAGAAAAATTTACCTTGAACTTAATCCAAAGCAATCCATAATAATAATAATAATAATCATTATCATCATCATCAATATCAAATGAGCCAATCATTCAATAACTTTTAGCTTATTAAAATCATTGGAAAATTTTTTCAAATTCAATAGAAAACAAATACAAATTATTATTTTATCATATATCGTTTCATCTGTGGGTTACATAACTTTGTTGTTTACATTTTTTATATATGTGAAATTCATTGCTTTTAAACAAAAAAAAGTTGACAAAAAAAATTGCAAACTCAAAAATCATAATTGAAATTTCTTTTTTCCAAAAATAACATCTTATTCAAGTCTTTTTTGATCTTTTGAAGATGTGAGAAACAAAAAATAATATTCATATTTCCATCAAGGACAATTTTTTTTTGTTTGTCTTGGATATAATTCAAGGCCGTATTGATAATTTTCATCTCATTTTTTGTTTCATTCTCTAAAAAAGATATTGATTACATGATATATAATTCAGATGATGAATTCATTTTGGTTAATTAAAATTGAACTAAGTAAACAGGTGAAAAAGTGAGAAAAAAAAATTTTCTCATCGAAAAACAAACAGCAAACAAAAAATTTATTGAGTCGGATGTGTGCGTTTGTTTTTAAACGAGCAACTATCGATATGATCGATAGTAAGTCGTTCATTTCTCGAATATGACATTTTTTGTTTCGCTCTCTTTTCGGGTTCATTGAAAAAAAATTGATTAAAAACAAACAAAACAAAACAAAAAACGAAAAATGAATGAAAAGATAATGATAAAAACAATAATTATCAAATATTTAAATAATTTTCTTCTCTCAGTAAGTTTTCTACGAACGTAAAAACTTATTCAAAAAACACGGGAAAGATATTATCATCATAATCATGATCAGGATGATGATGATGAAATGCAGAGAAAGTTGAATTTGTTACGTAAATTTTTTTTCGAAAAGTGAGAGAAAAAACATTCATTTTAATTATCATCATTTGGTCGGGAAAAAAAAGATATTTTCTCTATGCCAAAAATGCAATTGTTTTGTTTTTTCGCATAATATTTTGTCTATGGCGATTTCTCTTTCACAGAGTGTGTGTGCGAATGAAGAAATCGCGTTTTATCTGCATGTTTTTTCCCGAAATTTTTCATTTTCTTTTCGTGGACTTTGAAAAAAAAATAGAGGGGCCAAACAACAAAAAAAAAATGTTTTCTCTTTGTATTGTCCGCTAGATTAGCGAAAGTGTGTTTTTTCAGCTTTATGATGCTGATTTTGAATCAAATGAGTCCAACCAAAAAACATGATGATTGTGCCAACTAAAGAAATGAAGAAAAATGAAAATGCCGAATATCGGTCGAATGGCGCCGAGTCTAGTCAAGCGAGAAAACAAAAAAAAAAGAGAAGCCGAACTTGTGCAAGTTGTTGTTGTTGCTGTTGTATGGGGCCAATTTGACATTTTTTTTTGTTTTGTTTAGGAAAATTTCTGAAAAGGAAAGTGAAAGTGAAATGAAAAAAAGATTTAAGATCAACTTTGATATTGTGGGTTAAGATTTTGTAGAAAAAGATAGATAGATAGAGAAACAGAGAGAAACAAATGATGACTGATTGATTTTGATTGGAATTCAGATTTTCCCATCATCATTAACATATTGACGGGCTGTGTGTATGGTGAAATGGCAACGCAAAACATCCTCCCAACAAAAAAAGACTCTTTTCACCATCATCATCATCTTTTACTAAACTTGACTTAATCAATCCACGAAATGAGAGAGAGAGAGAGAGAGAGAGAGAGAGAGAGAGAGAGAGAAAGAGTGAAAGTGAGAGAAAAAACTTTGGATTTATTTTAACCCGGTCGCCAATCTACCACGTACACACACACAGACACTGATGAGATAATGATGAAGGAATATTATTATGAAATTGGGAGTAAGGGGGGAGGCAAAATGGAAAAAGTAGAAAAGAAGGAGAAGGAAAAGGAGGAAAAAAATTTTAAACTTAAAAAACTAGTAAAAGCTAGTTAAATCTTGTGAATGANGACTCTTTTCACAAACATCAGCATCTTCTATTACTAAACTTGACTTAATCAATCCACGAAATGAGAGAGAGAGAGAGAGAGAGTGAAATTTAGAGAAAAAACTTTGGATTTATTTTAACCCGGTCGCCAATCTACCACGTACACACACACAGACACTGATGAGATAATGATGAAGGAATATTATTATGAAATTGGGAGTAAGGGGGGAGGGAAAATGGCAAAGTAGGAGAAGGAGAAGGAAAAGGAGGAAAAAAATTTTAAACTTAAAAAACTAGTAAAAGCTAGTTAAATCTTGTGAATGAAAATTCACATCAAATAACCACCACCACCACCGCCACCACCGCCATCATCATCATCATCATCATTTCAAAGTAAAAAAAACCCGCTTCTTTTTCTTTTCTTTTCGATTTCCAGAACGATGCCGATGGCAGCCATAGATGATGATGATGATGATGATGGTAAATAGCGATCATCAACGAACAAAAATCCAAACATTGGCATAAACACGCTATTCACACATTCAATATCAAATATCATTTCAAGCCAAAAAAATTTTTCGTTATTTTTTTCACTTTTACTTTCACCATCAAGTTATCCATCCATCCATCCATCCTAACAGCTTTTCATCATCAAAAAATCCAAGAAAATGAAGAAAATTTTTGATGAATATAATGAAGAAATGATGAAAAAGAGAAAGAAAACACGGGATAAACAACAACAACAACAACGAAATAAGTAAAAAGAGACATATAGGATATTTAGACAAACGGTAAAAAAGTAGAAAAAGATTCCAACATAGTGAAAGTGACTGATATTATGCTTAACACATTACATTTGACCACCATACTGTTTGTGTATAATGTTTATCTATGTGTGTGTATGATGTGATGTTTGTGTGATGTGAACTCGCGATCCAAAAAGAAAAAAACAAAAATGATGACGAAAAACGACAACAACAACAACAACAACAACAACGAAGACGACGACAACAACAACGATAATAACCAAAATATCTTAATGATAATAATATCATAATGTTGTTGTTGTTGTTGTTGGTGTGATTGTTGTTTGTTTGTTTGATATTTTGAAATCCCAAAAATTTGGTTTTTTGGCTAATAGTTTGAAAATCTGTTAATTATAATCATTTCTCAATGAAATCCTCTCTTTCTCTATCATTACATCAAATCACCATTATCACCATTATCATAATCAGATTTTAAAATGACAAAAAAAACGACCAATTGATCAGTGCGAAATCAAAAATTACAAGGAAAATTTTTTGTCATTGTCATTTCGAATAAACAAACATATATTTTAAATTGTGAAATTTGAAAAAAACAATGATGAAATTGACGTCATTCTCATTAACATTATCATCATTGGCCATAAAGGCTGATATTTTTGGCCAACGAAAAAATCAAATTATCATCATAATCCAATGTCCAATGTCCAAAAATCATTATTCAATGATTATCATCAAAATCACCTTGAAATAGTTTTTGTTTTGTTTTCTGTGTGTTTGTAAAATGTGAATATAGATGAATTAATCAATGAATGAATGACAGAAAAAAAAGCAATGACATCGAATAGGAAATGATAAGTTTCACATTTTTTGTTTGTTTGTTTCATCAATATATAAAGAAAACTTCCCAGAAATTCATCAATTTTTTATATTTCTGTTTTTTCTTCTTCTTTACCATTTGTAATAAAATTTCATTCAAAAATCCAATTTTCATTTCCATTATTATTTATTTCTCTCTGTAATAATCATTTATCTTGCCAATTTCTGTTTATTTGATACACACAAGATTATTATACAACAACCTTGGTTCAATGAATTTGTTGTTCTGTTGTTGTTTTCATCATTATTTTGTTTTTTTTTGTAAAACATCACGGCAATGGATTATTATTTCATCAATTTCTAATGTTTTTTTCGTTTGTCTTTTTGTGTTTTGTTCCATCAGCAAAAAAAACCACTGTCCATGGACATTTTGACTATAATCAGCAGTGAAAAACGAAAAAAAAGTTCCATCGGGTTCCATCAATCAATCAATCATTTCAATCAAAAAAAAAATTTAATGATTGGTGATTGAAAATTGACAAACAAACAAACAAACAAACAAATTATATATCTAGGAATCAAAAACTTTCTTTTTTTTTCCTCAAATTACTTTTTTTTCTGATTATCTTTTCCTTTTTTTTAAAAAAAAAACACTGAAATAACTAAGATCATCGATCGAGACAAAAATCGCAGGAATTCATTTCTTTCTTGAATGAATGAACGGATGTTTATGATTACAGAAAGGAAACCAAAAGAAATCAACAAAAGTAATTAAAAAATAGTAACCAACAACAAAATTATAACAGCAAAAATTTATTGTTTGTTTTCGGTCAAAATCATTTTTTGTTTTAATTATCTTACGACAAATCATTAAGATTAACAGTATTTTGTTTAACTGTAACTGTTTGCTGTTGTTATTATTTTGTTCATAATGCCTACATCATTACCATTACGTTTTGCTACAAACGGTAAGTTTGTAGCAAGTGGATCGGCTACCGTTTATAATCATCATCATAATGATAATAATAATGTTGATAATCATCATCGACATCGACATCATTTAAATAATCATAATTGTGTTGATGTTGATAGTGAAACAAATGAAACAATTATGATGATTGCAACAAAAACCTTATCCTCATCATCAACAACTTCATGTGCATCATCAACATCTTCGGCATCATCAGCATCATCATCGTCATCATCATCATCATCTGCACCATCAACAACATCATCATCATCGACCTTTTCGATCGCATCACCATTACAATCAACAACAACACTGACATTATCGTCGACAATAAATTCATCATCATGTTCACTATCATCAACATCAGCAACATCATCATCATCATCAACAACAATAAATGATGCCATTACTAGGGGCGAAGTGAAACGGCCGATTGCAGGCCAAATAGTGAATAGTGAAATATCGTTAGCATGGAGAAATATACGATATGAAGTATCACCACATTGGCCATGGTGGCCAACATCCCAACAACAAAGAACTAAAGTGATATTAAGACGTTTAAATGGCCATGTCCGCTATCAAACCATGACTGGTTTCATGGGACCAAGCGGTGCAGGTAAAACTACATTGCTTAATTGTCTTAATGGTAATATTCAACGATTATGTTCCGGTTCGGAAATTTATGTTAATCGTGTTGAAAGAAAAATACCTGTTTGTGGTTTTATTGAACAACATGTTCATGAAACAATTATCGGTCGATTGACTGTACGAGAAATTTTACGATTTGCATTTCGATTCAAAAATTCTGATTGTTCAAATAGCCAAACTATGGATCAACATATCGATATGACTATTGCCGAATTGATGCTTGATTATCGTTGTCTTGAACGTCATTTTGAACAATGTTCAGGCGGTGAACAAAAACGTATAGCAGTTGCACAGGAACTAATGTGTATCGATCGTAAACCACAATTTTTATTCATTGATGAACCAACTACCGGTTTGGATAGTCAAGCAGCATTAGAAGTAATGAGATGTTTACGACAATTGACAGCTGTTCATCGTATTACAGTACTAGTATCAATACATTTGCCAAATGATGAAATATTGCGAATGTTCGATCAGCTTTATATTTTAGCTAAAGGTGGTGTAGCTATTTATGCTGGAGCACCAGAAAATCTTGGTCCAAATTTACGATTACAATTAGGTATTGAAGTTGAAGGTAGTCGACCACCTGTTGAAGAATATTTAAAATTAGCTTGTCATGGTATCGATGATTCACGTGTTAGTCGATTAGCTGATCAAACACTTATTGAAGAACATCAATATTTACTTGCAAATCAACAACAACTTCGTTTTTTAACTAATGGATCAGGAATGCCAAGACGTTTAAAATCATTTACTATTCGTGATTTTTTTCTACAATTATATCGTATTTTTTATATTGTATTTGTTGTCGATTTTCGTATACTATCCTATCAATTAATGGTTTATGCTTGTTTCCTATTGACTATTGCAACCGTATTTGATCATCGTATGGTACGACCATCAATGTGTTATCCATTAGATGATCAAGATAATTCAACTAGTAGCAGCAGTAGTACAACATGTCAACAACAATTAGATGATGAAGCATTTACTGATAGTTATATTGCATATCAGGCATTTTGTAATCTATTTTTTGGTGTTATAATGTTAGGTGTTGGAGCAATATTATTTACACCAATGTTAAAAATGTTTCGTCATGAACATCGTAATCGTAAGTGTATTTAAATATGAATTTTTGATTGCCTAAAAAAAAGTTTGTTTTGTTTTGAAATTTCAAAAAAAAAAAATTATATATTCCAAATTAATATATCAGGCTGGTATTCGATGTCATCATTTTATTGGCCATTTTTATTGGTTCGACTAGTCGAAGTGACAATGTTTTCATTGTTCATAACAATATTAATATATTTTCCAACTGAACATCATCAAATTGATGGTTATCGTATAAATTGGTATCGTTTTTGGCATTTTGCTTTTTTCATTTGGCTTTCATGTGTTTATATGCAAACATTTGGACAATTATTAAGCCTAATATTTTTGGATCAATTAGAAATATCTATAGTTATGGCTCAATTATGGTTTATACAATTAAGTTTAGTCAATGGTTATTTAATTAATTTGGCACATATGAATATACCGATTTTAATGTTTGTATCGGATATACTGGCAACAAAACCAATATCAAATGGTTTAATGTTTTCATTTTATGGTATTGATCGTTGTCAACCAGAAACTGAAATGTCAATAATGATGATGAAATTTAATATTGATGAATCACGTGTTTATACACAATTAACACAAGTTTTTATCAATATGATTATTATACGTTTATTAACATTTATATTGATGTGTTTTCGATTTAGTTTTGGTAATAGAAAATGGTCATTAATGGATTGTTTTTGTTGTTTGATTGATAGTAATCATTCGAATAATAAATTAACAATAAACACTGGATTAAGTCAAATTGAACCAATACCAATTGATTATGGAAAAAATCGTAATAGATTCACTATAAATGATCATAAAATAATTAAACTTTCGGAAATTAGTCGAATTAAACATGGTAAAGAAAGACAATTTGAACAATTTTCAAGAAATAAAATTATTGTTGGATGGAGATCGCTTAATCTTTTTGCATCTAGTTCGATTAAAGAAATACGTCCAGTACGACCAGAATCACGATTAATTTTACGTAATTTACATGGACAATTTCGTTTTGGAACATTGAACGCTTTAATGGGAACATCAGGTGCAGGTAAAACATCTTTATTACGTGTTTTGAATGGCCGTTGTAAAACTGAATTATCGGAAGAAACACATATTTATTTAAGCCGATTTACACCTATAAGGATATGTTTTATTACACAAGATGTTTCTGGACATTTATTACCCGGATTAACAGCAAAACAAAGTTTAGTATATGCATCAAGATTGAAAAACAGTGGTGAAGAGTGTGAAGGTCAAGTGGTTGAACATGAAAAAATTGCTAAAACATTATTGGATGAATTAGATATAAGCGATACTGAAGATACATTGGTACAAGATTGTTCAGGTGGTGAAAGAAAACGATTGGCATTAGCACTTGAATTAACTGCATTACGTATGCCTAATTTAATTTGTATTGATGAACCAACAAGTGGTTTAGATTCAAATTCAGCATATATTGTTGTTGCTTGTTTACGTCGACTTGTACTTCGTCATAATCTAACCATTGTAGCAAGTATTCATCAACCAAATACTGAAATTTTAATGATGTTTGATCAATGTTATGTATTAGCAAGGGGTGGTGTATCGATTTATTCCGGGCCACCAAATCAAATTAGTCAACAACTTGAAAAAATTCCTGAAATCAATGTTGATGTTGATAAATCTAAATTTCCAATTGAACAATTAATTAAATATTCATCATATGCTTATAATGATTCGGTTGTACAAAAATTAGTAAAATTAAATGAACAACAAATGTTATCCAGTAGTGATAGTCAAGATTTAACCGAACAAACACAATTAGTAATCGATGGTATACAATTGAATCGTCCACAATTTTCATTAAGATCTGTATCAATTTTATGTCAACGATATATGGTTTATGTAAAAGGTTATCTTTGGTTATCATTAATGATTTATATTGGTATATATTTATTTTATGGACTTATACTACGTGTATTTTTTAGCGATAAAATTGCATACACAAGTGGTTGTATCGATATGGAAGATGATTTTAATAGTACTTGTAATCGTAATCAAGAACGTATTGATCGTGAAATGGATTTGGCTAGTAATTATCGTTATAATTTTTATCTAAATTCAATATTTTTATTTATTGTTGTTTTACAAACATCATTAAATTTTTCAAAAGAATCTATTTATTTTTTTAATGAACATCGTAATGGTAAGTAGAATGATTTAGAAATTGTTATCATTTTAATGTTATTTGTTTTTTTTTTGTATAGGTTGGTACAGTACAGGTGCTTATTATGTGATGAAATCTTTATATGATATAACACCAATGATACCGGTTGTATTTATTTACATATGGATTGTTAATATTTATGAACCAATAAGACCTGGAATTTATTGGTGGCTCGTACTATTGGTATTGATCTCAGTCATTGCCATTCAAGGTATGGGACATCTATTCGCATTGTTAACTAATGGTCAATTTACAATATTGACTATAACAAATATTGGTGTTTTTCTATTCTTGGTAATATTATCAAATTTTTTCAATCCAATTGGTCGTATGCATTATGTTTATCAATTAATATCAAATCTATCGATTTGTCGATTTTTAAATGAAGCAACAATTTTATTACAATATGGTTTTGGTCGTTGTGGCCCGAAAGAAATACAAGCAACATTATATGTTATGATGTTACATCATGATGATCATTTTTATCATTGTTTACAAATGTTATTATTTAATCTATTATTTTATCGTGTATTATCATTAGCTGTATTAATTGTTAAATCAAATCCAATGGAAAATCGTCGTCAACGTGCTGAAAAAATTCGTAAATATCAAGAACATATGCGACCGTTAAATTCTATAATACCCGGTCTGACGATATCTGATCAACAATTTTGTATTAAAAAAATTCAAATTTAATATCAGCAAAGTTGATTAATCAAAAAAATTTTTTTTTTATAAATGTTATTTTTTTCAATGTGTTATTCTTTCTTCTTCTTGTATTATAACGGAATAAATTTTGTTTTTTTTCCTTATCAAATTATATTGAATTCAATGCGCGCCATTTAAAGATGAAAAAATTCAAAAGAATTCCATACGTTCTATTTGAATGGTATCTGTTTATTTTTATTATGAAAACAACAATTTGAGAATCGGGTGATTTACCTGCTGACAACAACAGCAAAAACAAAACAAATCAAAAAAATCCTGTGTCTTTCAAAATTAATGACTTAATCGATAATTGATAAAGTTCAATGTTGAATGATCTCAACTGGTCTTGATACAATGTTGATAGTCAATCTTGATTTTGTTGGAGATTTCAATGAATTCAAAACAACCGATCAATTTTATGAACGTTATCCATGTATATCTGTAAGTAAAGTTGATTGTAACATTGATTTTAAAAAGATTATGTTTTTTATTCTATCTTTTTATGTCACACAGATATTACCTAGCTCATTTGTATCATCATTTCAAAATGTAGAACTATATGATGTAAGAAAAAGTAGAGTTTTACATGTTATGCAACATGAATATGCTATTGTTAATGCCAAAAACTGTAAGAATGTAAAACGACTGTTATGATTATTTTATCCTTTCATTTTTTTTTTGTTTTAAATATAGCCAATATTGATACAATTATAACGGATGATATGACAACATGTGTAGCTGTTATATTACGTTCACATCATACATCAGCCATCTGTCTTTGTCATGTTGATCGAATTGATCATAATGTTGATACACAAAAATTTAAAAAAATCTGTGAACAAATGTGCGGTAAAAAACATCATAGTACTTATCATCCAACAAGTACAATCGATTATCGTAATCAAGAAATTGCTTTCGATTTATTTATAATTGGTGGCTATAAAGATGAAAGAAACATATCCGATCGATTAGTTATTGATATTCTAACAATGTTCAATCGAATACGTCCATATTTGTTTCATATACGTTTGATTCATGTTGGTACACAGAATACATTATGGCAACAAAAATATCCTGTACCTAAATTGACCGGTGTAGCTGTTACAGTTAGTAATTGCCTGATACGAAATGCTCTATTAGCTCGACCATTGCCAATTGATTCACCAATGGATCGATTACCTATACCATTGTACAGTATCCGTCGTATATCAATATCATTTAATAGTTCATCAGAATATATATCCATCTATAATTTACAAGAGGAAAAATTACAGATACCGGTTTTACATATAAAACGTTGTTATTTTAGTCCTTCGGCAAAAAAATATTTTGAAGAAACATTAAAATTTAATGATCAAGAAATTTTAAATGTAAATATCTAAAATATTTATTTTAATCAAAATATAAATATCTAATTAGCTAGAATATTATTTTTAGCATTTTTCCACATCACCAATGGTAGAACCGGAACATTTTGTACCTGAAATGCGTCAAATATTTCAAACATTATATAATCATCTTTGCCGATTTGGTTATGATTCGAATGATCAATTTGTACAGCAATATTTTCCACAAAAACGACCAAGAATATTTTCAATTGAACCTAATGATGATTGTCAACGTTTAATACAACAAATGGGTTTAAGATTTAATCTTATCGAAGAAAGAGAATGTAAAAAATTGAATGAAAATGAAACAACAATACGTTTAAAATTTCGTTATATTAATTACAATGATGATGATGATAATAATGTTGATGACATTTCATCATCATCATCATCATCATTGACAACTAATAATCGATATGTTTGGAAAGAAATTTTCAAATAATAATTATCTGGTATTTGAAAAAAAAATTTTGATTAATAAAACAATTTTTTTTAACAAATACGCATGCGTTTAGATTAATTGAATTTGGAGCAAAAATTCAAAATTGATAAGATCAATTCGAGTCCATACAACAAACAAAACAAAAACAAAAAAACTTGGAGAATGTTTCAAAGTTCCAATATTTTGTTGCAAAAAAGCAGGTTTTTTTTTGTCTTCTTCCTCCCCCCTCCCGAAACATTCATTTCTCTTCCGCGTTCTCATTATTTAAAAAAAGTTTGATGTGAGTACACACATTGGACATTGGATGTTTGCTCTTCCTCATTATTATCGGAAAAAAAAGAAAGAAAGAAAAAATTTTCATAGCCATATGATATGAAATCGATATGCTATAAGTTCGAATCTAATCATAAATAAAAAAAAGGGCAAATTTTTTGTTTCGTAGAGATGGCCATTATTTAAATGATGATAACTTTGTTTTTTGCATGAGTACAATTTTTTGTTGTTTTTTATTTGTTAGAGATTTGCATAATGTTTGAAAAGGAAAATTATATTGTCAAATCATCGGATAAATCTATTCAATTATCAATGATCAATAATAGTGTTGGTCAATTTATTTCCAAACAATTATTATGTCAACAACAACAAACGATTGCTGTGATTGATGTTACTTGTAACAATAACAAGAATGGCAACCATCAAATTACCTATGAAGATTTGGATAAAAGAATTCGACAACAAGCAACAAAATTTTTGACAATTGGTCTTGAAAAAAATGATCTAGTTGTTATGTTTGCCGATAATTCATTTGAATATCTTATATCAATGTTGGCATTTATATATTTAGGCATAACATTTTCACCACTTAAACCAGCTAGTGGATGTTTTGAACTTGTACAACAGATTAATGATTCACAAGCTACAGCATTATGGATTGATAAAGAACGTTTAACAATATTCGAAAAAGCTTTACGTGAACAATCATCATCATCATCATCAATAAAATTGAAATTTCTTTTGATTGCCGATAATGTTGATGAAACATTTCTGGAAAACAACATTAAACAATATTCAATACAAACAATTATCAATATGAAAAAATTAGCATTCGATCAAGATATTAAAATGTTGGAACGAATTCCATATTTTGATACACAACCTGATGATCATCTAATGATAATCTATACATCTGGTAGCACTGGATTACCAAAAGGTGCTATTCATACACAAACAAGTGTATTAGCTTCGACATTCATATTTCGATCAAATCAATCAGGAATTCGTTATCTAATGTGGTATCCTTTTGGACATGTATCAGGAATTTTTGCTACATTAAAAACACTTTGTTGGGGACAAACATTAATATTGGAAAAAAGTTGTCAATTAAATAAAATGTTAAAAACCGTTGAACAATATCAAGCAACACAATTACCAATTGCACCAAGTCATGCAATGGATTTAGCCATTCAAGATTATCATCGTCAATTTAATCTTCAATCATTAAAAGTTATATCGTATGCAGGAGCAAAAATTTCAGCAGATATAATTGATCAGATTAGAAATAAATATCAAGTACGAATATCTGAATTATATGGTTCAACAGAAATGATGGGCAGTGTAATGCAACCTTTCGATCAGATTGTTCCACAAGGATCGGTAGGAGTTCCTCAATCGAATAACGAAATGAAAATCATTGATATTGAAACAAAAGAAAATTTGCCTGCATTTCAACAAGGTGAAATTTGTTTTCGTGGACCAGCTAGATTTGCAGGTTATTTACGAAATCCAAAAGCCACTAATGAAACAATCGATTCAAATGGTTGGTATCATACAGGTGATATTGGTTACTATGATAATGATGGTCATTTATATGTTGTCGATAGAATTAAAGCATTAATCAAATTTCGTCATTGGACAATATCACCGGCTGAAATTGAATTATTTTTACAACAACATTCAGCAATCGACAGTGTATGTGTTGTTGGTGTTAAACATTCAATCGATGGACAATTAATACGAGCTTATGTACAACCGAAAAAAGGAATTGAAATTTCCGAAAAAGAATTGATACAATATACCAAAACAAATCTAGGTTTTCATAAACAACTTCGTGGTGGCGTACAATTTATCGATCAAATTAAACGTACTGCTATTGGAAAAATTGATAGACAATATTATAATCGTTTGAATGAAGGACAAATATTCGATGATCCGTTGTTTGATTGAATAGTGCAATCTTATTGATATTGACCTGAATAAAAAAAAACAAAAACAGATATTTTAAAACTTTTTTTTCACAAAAAAAAATGAATAAATATTATTATTATTTTGATTATTGATTATTGATTATTGATTGGCAATGAACCAATTCTAATATTTAAAAAATTAAAAAAAATCAGCAAAAAACAACAACAAGAAACTTATATTTACAATGATAAACAAATAAACAAAACAAAAAATTGCCTGATTCGAATAGATTAGATGATCTGAATGGTATGTCAGTCAATCAACTGAAATAATAATCATAATTTTTGGATGATAACCTTCAATAATTGATAAAAAAAAGCTTAATCAATTTAAAGAGATCGTTACTTATATAAGATGTTTTGGCTGTTTGAGCAATTAGGTTTTTGAATTAATCATTTTTGTTTTGCATTTGAAAAAAACTGAAAAACTTTTCAAATTATTATGGCACCAATTCCCGAAAAAGATAATAATGATCATGAATCGATTGTATTGGAACCATTGGGTCAATATTTATTTGATGATCAAATTATTGATAATTTTCGGGATAAAATTTTTCTGGTATTTAATTAATCAATTTCCAAAAAAAACATTGCCATATGATGATTGATTATTCATCTTTTGTTTTTGTTTTTTAGACAGAAGGTCTTACTGGAAAACAAATAACATTTGGTCAATTGGAACAACAAACACATTCTTTAGCTAAATCAATGATATCATTATTGGGTATTGAATCGAATGATATTTGTGCAATAATGGGTGATAATTCCATACAAAATTGTATTGTTATTTGTGCTTGTTTATTATTAAACATACCATATACATCGATTTCACCCGTATTTACTCATTTTTATCTTGGCCAACAATTAAATCAAACTGAAGCAAAATATTTATTTATATCACGTAAACATTATCCAAAAATTGAACGTCTTTTTAAACAAGATGATAATTGTCAATTAAAAAAACGATTAAAAGTAATTGTTTTTGATAATAATGATCCATTGGAAAATCCAATTACTGATTGTAGTAATTTTGAAAAATTAATCGATGCTTTTCAAGATGTTAAAATCGAAACAATACCATATTTTTCCAAATCAATTGATTCAACAGTAACCATTGTGTTTACATCTGGAACAACAGGTAAACCAAAAGGTGCTTGCCATACACATAGATCTATTATGAACAATCTTATCAATTTAAAACGTTTTGAACCATTAAAATTATATCATCGATTATCAACATTATTATTATTACCAGTGACTCATTTAAGTGGAAATAGTTTATTCTTTTTTCTAATGGCTACACAAACACCGATAGTATTGTTTGATTATTCTCAAATTGATTCTGTGTTTGAGATTATTGAGAAATATAAAATTGTTCAAATATATGGAACATCAAATGCTATGAATACATTGGTCAAAAATCATGAAGGACATGATATTTCAAGCATTCGTTTAGCAATGACTGGTGGAACAAAATTAGCCGAAAGTACGGCCAATATTTTGTTCTATGATCTTGGTATTAAAATTTTAGATGGTAATTATTAACAAATAAACAAAAAAAAAATTAATAACTAATCATTGTATAATCGATTATAGCATATGGTTCAACTGAATGTATTTTCATATCAGCAAATAATCGTTTAGATCGAATACCGGATAATGTGGGCAAAGTACTTGGATGTTATCAAATGAAATTGATTGATTTAGTTACTAAAGATACCATTACATTACCGGGAAAATCGGGTGAAATTTGTATAACTGGTTCAAGCTTATTTCGAGAATATTTTAATAATCCTGAAGAAACTAAATTGGCTATTGATGATGAAGGCTGGTTTCATACTGGTGATGTTGGACAATTAGATGAGGAAGGAAATCTGAAAATAGTCGATCGAATAAAAGAATTGATCAAATTCAAACATTTTTCAGTGTTTCCAGCTGACATTGAATGCTGTTTAATGAGTCATTCGGCTGTGAAAGAAATTGTTGTTGTACCGGTTAAACATCGTGAATATTATCAAGTTCCACGAGCATATGTCATTTTTAAAAATGATCAAATTTCCATCAAAGAATTGGAAGAATTTGCCAATGGTAAGATTTTATACATTAATTCGCTTGATATCACAGAATTTATATCAATTGTTTTTACTCATTCAGAAAATCTTGGCATTCATCAACAATTACTTGGAGGTTTGATTCAAATCAATGACAAACATCTTAAATCTACATCGATGGGCAAAGTAGACAGACAATACTATAAACGTCTTTGTGCTGATGAAATTCTTGATTGAATTTTAATTAATAATTGTACTAAATTGCCTGCAAAATTTTATAATAAATTTTCAAAAAATTTTTTTTTATAAATTCGGAGGGAGGATGATCACATTATCAATTTTTTACCCTATTTTTTCAGTTCCGAAAATTAATTTCTACAATATATTGACAAATTATATTGTCATTCATATACATTTGTATATCATACATGAGACTTGAAAATCTGAAAACAGGATAGTTTCAAACAAAGAACATATCGTTTATGAACGGAATACTAAATGTGCTCAGTATTTCCTGCTCATCTTTGTTCAAACAGCGTTAATAAATACACAAAGAAAAAGTGGTGACAGTTAGTCATTGTTTCACATTGTTTTCCAATTTAAATCGAACATTCAAACCGATTTTTTTTCTTTTTTTTTCTCACAAACAATTTCATTCATTCATCATGAACGGTCAAATCCGAAACGATCCGGATAATCAAGAAAATAACAACAGAACATCAATTTTGATGCAGGATATGTTCTCTTCGTTACAAATTTCGGACGTGACCAGCACCAATGAACCATTGTTCTGTGACATTCCGCAATCACAGGCTCCAACAGGACAACCTCGTTCCGGTGATTTTCGAACTAAACAAATGAATCAACCTTGTTGCGATTTAAATGATAACGAAATTTTTTCAAGAGTGCCCATGTTGACATCGATTCCATGCAATGATCAAGATTATCCTTTTTTGCATAAAATATTTCAAATATTATTCGCTAACCCGGATCTCATTAATTGTGCTTTTTTCAATCCATCGCACGATGACTCACAGATGTCCGAACAAATGTCGAAATCGAAATGCATTCTCTATCAATTGATTGTCAAACAGTTAGGATTTGACGGTCATGATGAAATAGCTCACGCATTGATGAACAAAGTAGCTGATCCGAGTGAAATATCTATTTTGCAGCAACGTGAAGACACGTTGTACAAACTATTCAACATATTGTTTTACATTGAAATTCGCAGCAAAACTGATGAAAGATTTTCAAATTTTTTAAATTGGTTTTTCTCAAACAATGTCGACACTGGCTTCCCTTCTTCACAGCCTAATTCAATGAACGTGTCAGCAACTGTTCCTGGCCCTGGACCAGTATCAACAAATGCTGAAACATCAATTCAACCGTCATTTTCTCGTGCTCCTGGACAATTCAGCAGTGTTGGAACAAATCTGTTGAATTCTCAAGTGTATCGTTCTTTGGATTCATCGTCAGTCATCTATGAGACCGAATCGGATGGCCCTAAGTCATTGTTGTTGAATGATGCTACCGTTGGACGCCCCAAACCATTGAATGTGACTTATAAATTTGGCCAAATCGGTACAGGACCCGGATGCTTGGATACACCACATGGATTTTGTCTTGGTCCCAATGAAGACATTGTTATTGCTGATACAAACAATCATCGAATTTGTGTGTTTTCATTCGATGGAAAATTCAAATTTAGCTTTGGTGAATACGGTACCGAGAATGGAAAGCTTCATCAACCAAGAAAGGTAAGAACTATGCCATAGATGAAATTGATAAAATTGTTTATTCTTCTAAAATAGATTGCTATGTTGCCACCAGCCATTCTACGACCTGAAGATCCTAAGCCTGTATATATTATTTGTGATCGTGGTTCAAAACGTTCTCGAATGCAAATGTTTTCAATTGAAGGCAATTACATGGGTTTGATTGATATGCCACCGATGGACATTGTAAGCGGTTTAACCACCACACAAGATCGTCATATTATTGTAGTCGATTCTGTTCGTTCTGGTTTGATTGCCATGAATGAATTCGGTGACCTTTTGAATTGGTTCACATGTTCACCGCATATGATGGAACCATCAGACATCGCATTCCACAACAAACATTTCTACATATGCGATTTCAAAGGCCATAATATTTGTGTTTTTAATGTACATGGTGTTCTGGTTCGTCGTCTTTCTGCAAAAATGCTTCGATTTCCTAATGGAATCGATGTAACCGCTCATGGTGATATTATCTGTGGTGATTCACATGGCAATCGATTTCATATTTCAGTTTTTAATGAAGAAGGTAATTTGATTGGTGATTATGAATGTCCATTTATAAAAGTATCACGATGTTGTGGACTTCGAATCTCTAAAAATGGTTATTTCGTTACATTGGCCAAGAATAATAATCATGCTGTTGTTATTGATCCTGTTGTTACCTGATTATGGCGCTTTTCAACAATGATTGAAATTTATTCTAAATCTAATTTTGTTTAATCACCGAATTCTTTTTTATTCTTTAAATTATTATAATCATTAGTATTAGTAAGGTTCTAAATTTTTGTTTTCACTTTTTCAAGAATTTTTCTTTTTTTATCATAATCATGAAGATTTACACAATTAATTTTGGATAATAATTTTTTTTATTGAAAAAAACTTTTTATAAAAAAAGATTTGTAATTTTTAAAAACAATAAAAAAAGAACAAATTTTTCAATTTTCAATTCTTTGTGATGAAACAACTTCAATCGTAAAATCTCTTTCTTGTAAACGATCCAATAAATGTGTATTACGGAATGCCGATGCTGGAGTCAATACACCTCTGTTATAAAAACAAAATCAAATAAAAAATTTATTAAACAAAAATAATTTATAATAATAATTACCTAGGAATGTTATCCGATTCCATCAAAATGGTAAGACCAGATTGAATCAAACAAGTTGATGTGGCCATATAACCTGGATCTCTACCAGAAACTTGAACCGTAATAGTTTCATCAGGTTCAGTTTCTGGTTCACTATCAACATCATCCGGGTTGCTTTGTTGTTCTAATACACGTTTTGACCATCCACGTCCAATAATGGTTGTACGAAATCGAGAAGATTCGATTTGTGCACGTGTTGGACCTTTTTTGCTAAAAGCACCTGCTGTAAAAACTTCTGGATATCGAGACAATAATCTTGAACCGAATGATGTAGCCGTCATTACAGCAAACATAGCAGCAAATACAATCAATCCCATCAAATGTGTAAATGATGCAACAGTAAAATATGTTTGTATCTGTAATGGTGGTTCTTTGAAATGTTCATAATTGTAGTATTGTGTACGTTGAACTACCGAACGATCACTACCAGGAAATTCGACATTCCAACCTGAAACTTCGTCACGAGTAAATGGTAAAGTTCTAAGTGAAAAGGAGAAAAAATAAGATTTTGTAATTTTATTCAACAATAAAATCTCTTTCTAAGTATACTTTCGTTTGAGAACGATTCGACTTCTTGGAATCTTTACTGTCAATACTTCGGAATAAAGTCGTCGTCGAATGGCCCTTAATTCGTTCATAGTTCTATATCCATTAATAGCCGAATTTAAAGTACCAGTATTAATTTTGTATCCTTCTGAACCTGGAATGGTTGAAACAAATGTTTCAACTGAATGTAAACGTCCGGGAAATTTTTGCTTAGTCACTTGAACACCTAAATCACATGGAATAGAATCCCATCCACATGTTGATATAATGATCAATCCTTTTTCTTTGGCCTGATTATGAAATTCAATTGCCATTGCTTCAATATAATTCGGTTCACCAGAAATATCGATATGATGGGTACCTGCTTCGACACAAGCTTGAACTACAGGTCGTCCATAAAAACAATATGGTCCAACACAATTTATGATTAATCGAGAACGTTTGGCCATTTCCAACAATGAATTTGTATTTGAACAATCAGCCACAATTTTAGTAACATTTTCAAGATTTTTATTCAATTCTTGGCCCACTTCTTCCAATTTCATTGTCATTTTCTGTTCATTACGACCAGCAATTGCCCATTTTAAATGTTCATATTCTGATTTACGTTGTTCTAATGATAATAATAATTCTCTAAGTACATAAAATCCAGTAAAACCAGTAGCACCAAAAATAATCAAATCGAATTCTTTTGATGAATTCATTGTTCAATGAATAAACGGAAAAAACAAATGCTCAAACGATGTTCAACAGGTTTGTAACAAAATCGACAATATATTTAAATGTGTACCCAAGATTTAAATAATGATCAATTGATTAATGATGTTGATCAAACAATGATGTTCCATTGAGTTGTCAAATCGATGAATGTTTCTCATGTTTCTATATACGCTTGCCATCTGATGGCCAAAAAAATAACATTTAAGTATCAAAATTTAATTTAATTTATTTATAAACTTTTATTTTTTTTCTGAAAAATATTTATTTTCATTATTGTTTCAGAAACATCTTGCATTCTTGTTTGTTTTGGAGTTCTTCTTTTCATCAATGATTCTATAATCTGTCGGCTTCGAAAAGATCTTGGTTTAGTGTTGAAAATTTTTTGTATTGATGCCCAACTTTTTGCAACATATTTATCAACTCTTGAATTTTCCATAATCATTTTTTCCAAATCTTCTTTTTCTTGTAGTACCGATTCTTTCGATACAAATCCTAATAAATTATCAATCTTTTTTATTAATTCAACTAAAAATGCTCGACCATGTTCAGTTTTAGCTAAAGCACGATCCAATTTTTCGATTCGATTTTTTCGTTCATCACTTTCGGGTAACTGGGTTTCAATCATACGACGAACAAATGCTAATTGTTCATAATCAGGCATCTGTTCGGTTAATGATCGTTGTATACGAATACGATCATCCATAGTAACAGTATTTGGTGCATATAATACTTTACGATAAACCCAAATTGGCCAACCATGCCATAACCACATAAAATCATTAACATCGGCAAGTAATTCATCAATTTCTAATCGTAATCGTTTATCTGTACGTATTGTTTTATTAAATTTTGAATCCATTTTCACTTCACTCATCACATTCGATTAAATTGTTTTCTTTTAGTCCAATATTTTCAAATAAAAATGAGAAAAGATTTTTTTTTTTTATTCAAATGTTTTTCATTCATTCCTTCATTCCATTATTTTTAACCAAAGTTCGATTCTTTTCTTTTGATTCGATTCATTATCGAATTTTTGTTTTATGAAAAAAAAGGAATTCTATAGAATAAGGTACAAAGCAAAAATTAAAAAAAATGAAAACACAGAAACAAAAAAAAAAAATGAAAAATGAAAATGAAATTACAATACATAATATAACCAATCAATAATAGTAAAAAAAAGACAAAACGAAGACAAAAAAAAATATTGATCAATATTGGTTAAAATTGAGATAACCTAACAAAATCAAATGGTAATTAAGAGTGTAACACAATTTTTTTTTCAAGCTGACAACAAATAATAATAATAATAATGATCGAATGTATGATATCTTTTATCCAAATTCCAACAAATAAATCAAATGTGTACAATTTTTTGTTTAGTTTGTTTTTTTTTTAGAGAAAATAATATAATTAAATTAAAATTTATGTTTAGTTGTGTACAATTCATAATCGCCAATCCATAATTCAAAGTTTTTTTTTTAAAAAAAAGGTGAAGATTTTAATAGAAATATTAGAGATATTATATGTTGATTTTTTTTCACGAGTCGATTTAATCATCATCATCATGTAATATATTTTCACAAAATAATGGAACAAATAAAAAGATATTTTTTGAATTGAATAATAAAGAGATGGAATTAATTATTTGTTATACTTCTTCATCAGGATCATCATCATCATCGTCATCATCATCATCAGTTTCTTCTTCTTCTTCTTCATCCTCATCATCTATCATATCTTCTTCATCGATTATATTTTCTTCATCATCTTCCGGTTTATCGTTAATATGGCTTGGTAAAACATTAGGATTCGATTCAATTTTTTCTACATTTTCGATATCTGTCGAATCAACAACGACTGTATCATTCGTAGTTAGTGTTGATGTTCGCTTTTTCTTATTGTTGTACACACGATTGGTTGCCGAATTAGTCAAAAGATTATCCGATGATGTTGTTTTGATCATTTGTTGTAATTGTAGTTGTTTTTGTTGCATTTCTGTTATACGTTCCATATTTGTTTCGATTAATTTTTTTAATCCTTGTTGTTGTTTACTGGTATCTGTTGAATTTTGTTTTAGTTCTTCTAATTTGGTCATTAAATGGCGCTGATTGAGCAGTAATTCTCGAAGTTTTCGGTTCAATTCATCAGATTGCTGACGATATCGTTGCATCAATATCGTTCGACGTTTACGTGCAGCGGCGACAGCTGCCGCATTAAATACTACTTTTTTTGCCGGTGGTATAGGTTCTTGTTGTTGATGCTGTGGACCTTGTTTAAATTTTTTCATCTGAATTTTTGTTATCTCAGCACGAAGATCCTGTTGGGATGCTTGTTGTTGTTGATTGTTATTACCAGATGTCATATCATTGGATGGAAATTTTCGTTTATTCGATACATTATTATGGTTATTGTTGTTAGAACCTTCTGATTGTTCACGGTCTCGAGCCCAGAAGACTTTAATAAAACGATTGTTTAGAACTGGTTCAGTAGAACGATATGCTCGATTCGCTTCAAATGGCGATGAATATTGGATTAATGCTGATTCTGGATCTAATTTTTCTCCATCGACTGAATCGGTAATACCGGCGCAGCCAACTTTAATATTGACAATCGATCCAAACTTTTGAAAATGATCGTTTAATAAATCAATACGATTCTGGTGGGGTGGTATCTTTTGTATCAACAAAGTTGATGATCGATTCTTTTTATTTGTATTGTTGTTTGAACTGTCGAATCGTTGTTGATTATTATTATTTCTTTGATTATTGCGACGATTCTGATGTTGTGGATTTTTCTGGTGCTGTTCCAACTGATGTTGTGAATGTTGTTGAGGCAGGCCACCATAGCCACAAGTTCGAGTTAATTCAATATTGTGAGTGTTACTAATTAAACTATTTTCTTGTTGTTGCTGTTGATGGTGATCATGATTTACGTTAGTAGAATTATTCGTCGGAGGATTACTATTATCATCCTCATCATTGCCGACTAATGATACGCTAACCAGATGTCTATGTCGCATTTTATTTGGTTGTAGGGCTGGCTGTAGTTGATTAGCATTTGTCATTATATTAGCAGAACGATAATTCCTAAATTTGAAAAACGAAAAAAGAAAATCGAATTAGAAAAATAAAACAAAGGCAATTAATAAAAGACCAACATTAATTGTGTTTGATTGAAAATGGCATCTTCTGGATTGTATGGCTCAGCGATAGCGGTGGCAGCTGCAACAGCAAAATAATTCGATTGGAGCTGATTTTGGGCCAATACGGTTGATGAAATTGTTTGTTGTTGTTGCTGATAGATATTTTCGTTACCGCTAGCGGAGGTGGTCACATCAGTTGCTGCCACCACCGTCGATGACAATGATGGCGATGGCCCAGGACTATTTGCATTATATTGAGATTGTTGTTGCTGTTGAGTATATGAAGATCCATGCGATGAATGCGAATGATGATGATGATTGTTACGATCATTCGAAGACCGATGACGATGTTGATATCGATGACGATTATTATTATTACTATTATTGTTATGTTGACGATTTCTATGATGATTAGATGATGAAGACGTCCAGCGAGCATTACCGCTACCATGGCTATTGTTGTTATTAAAGTTTCGATTATTACTCCATGACGATTGATGATGGCGATTTCGATTCATGTTCATGTTGTTAGATGGAGGGTCCATCACTGTTGACAATGTTTGATGATTTCGTGCTGATGAACGATGGGTACGATATCGTCGATGGCGATGATCACTATCATCACTATCTTCGTCTGTATCATCATCTTCATTAGATTGTTGACTTGAATTCGTATGATCATCATCATCGCTATCTTTATCACGTCCATCATAATTGATATTATCGCCGTCATCATCGTCTTCAGAATCATCATCATCATCTGAATCTGAACGCCGACTACGAAATCGATATGAAGATGATCTATGATGTCGACGTCTTCGGCTATTACTACCAGTTGATCGTGAATCAGTACGTCTATGACGGCTATTATTGGGACTCCGACTTGGACGTGAAGAAACGGTTGTTTGATTCGAAGGACGTGATGGTTCCACTTCATGATCATCATTTTGTCCGGAAACATTATTATATTGATTTGAATGTGAATCATGTTTGTATGAATCAATAGCATCTTTATCATCATCATTTTTATTTAATAACATAACCTTTGTATCAGTTTCATTAGCAGAATTGTTCGATAAATTTTTAGGTGAATCAATTGCAGAATTAGTCTTTAGATGTCTATAGTCTGCATCATTACTAAATGGATTTGTCGTTGTTACGATCATCGATGAATCGAAATGGTCCATTGGTAGATAATTATTCTTAATTCACCAGTTATTCTTTACAATTAATCTTTGTTATGATTTGATTCTGAATGATCAATTTTTTTTGTTGTTGTTGTTGTTATAAAAGAATGATCAAATCATCAAATATTTATTCTATTATTGATGAGTATTCAAGTTCATTTGTCGATCTTAATTGATATATCAATATATTCTTAACGATATTTAATAAATATTTGATAACGACACGAATTAAAAAGATTTAAAAAATGTAAATAATGCACGTGGAGGACAAATTATAACGATACATTATTCTAAAAAAAAAATCCTTAAACCAAATAAGAAACGAAAAAAAAACAATATACATACACACACAATTCTGGCCACAACTAATAGCAAGCTCAACATGAAAAAAAAAAACATACAAACACACGCATACAAATGAACTACTACTTTAAAACACGGACACTGGGTCATCAATAGAAGCATGATAAATTGAAAGATTTTAGAAAAAAATGAGCATCAAACTGTTAATGCCATCTTGTGGCATTAATTTGATCGAAAATTTGATTTTTCCCCAATGAATTTTGATGAAAATGATTAAAAAAAAAACTTAAGATCTAAAACTTACCCTATCTGTAAAAAAAAGGAAGGTTTATGATTTCAACTGATGTAAGGAGATAAAAATTTTTTTTATTCATATAAAAGCAGTACCAGAAGACAATACCAAAAATGTGATAAAAATTTATCAATCATCAATGTCTTATTAATTGATAAAAAACATTATGAGTAAAGTTCAATAGTATACATTGATGATTGAAATGGAGTATAATAATATAAGAACCAGAAAAATGATTGATCATATCAATTATTGATTTCATTCACAAAAGTAAGGAACAAACGTTCTTTTTTTTTTGTTGGTTGAGTTGTGTTAAAGCAACAAACAAATTGATTGAACATTGATCGATTTGATCGTATGATTAAGAAGAAGAAATTAATTAATTCTATATGGATTCGTGGAATATATGGTCATTTTTAACAATCATTTTGATTATTTTCGACAATAATAGACAATCATTTTCGATTGGAAATAATGAAGTTCAAGGGCTATCATCATCAAAAAGTTGGACATCCAATGATCAAACAATACTACGCCATGTTCAAATAGTATTTCGTCATGGTGATCGTACACCCGTTTGGGTTGAACCACCAGAACCTTATTATGAAAAGCATAAATATTGGCCACAAGGTTTTGGTCAACTAACCAAACAAGGTAAAGCAAAAGCATATCGACTTGGGCAGCTATTACGTAAATATTATAGTGATTATCTTGGTTGGAGATTTTCGGTTCAAGAAGTGTTTATTCGAAGCTCGGCATTGGATCGATGTATAGAGACGGCTCAACTGATTATGGCAGGTTTGTTATTGATTCCGTTTGAATGATAAAACGGCTAGTGACCTCATATCATCAGGAGCTTATCCACCCAATTCTAGTCTGGCTCGTTGGAATATCAGTTCAACTTCCGAACCATTGGCAAAATTATGGCAACCGACACCAATCGAATCATTTATACCGGCTGATGAGGATACATTACTTCGAATAAATAAACCATGTCCTGAAGCAGATGAAATTAAAGAACGATTATTGGATTCACGCCGAAATCGTCGCCTATTACAACGATATCGTCCACTGTTAGATCAATTGGAACGAATCTTATCTGACCATCTTCATACAATTGAACAGGTTTCGAACGTACATGAAAATATGAATATCATGCACGAAAACGGTTATTATTGGTACAAATGGGAACCCGAATCTGGTAATCGTAGCGAGGAACTTTCAAAATGGACTCAAGAATCAGAGGAAGAAATACGACGACAGTTAAGACTATTTGAGGTGGCCAAATATCGTTCTATGTTTGATGATGATTTTATCAAACAAGTTAGAGCAGGTGAACTACTACATCGAATCGGTGATATATTCAAATCGAGACGTTCGGTAATGGAACCAGCATCTGATTCGGATCGAGATTATCGTCTGCATCTTTATTCTACTCATGATACGAAATTGGCAGCATTGTTACAAACATTGAACGTATGGAATCAGGAACTTGTGCCATATCTTGGAACTTTGATGTTTGAATTACATCAAAGTCGAGAAAATTCTTCACAATACTACGTACAATTATGGTATCTGAACGAAACTGCTGATTTGCTTGAAGCGCAGGAATTACGGCCACATCGATTAGATATTCCTGGCTGTGATCAAGAGGAATTCGACGAACAAAATCTTATGTGTCCTTTAGATGAATTTTTATTTTTAATCCAACCATTTTCACCGCCACAGGATTGGAAACATTCATGTGGTATTCATTCCGAATTAACAGCCATGATAAGCGTAAATATTCTTCTTTTGATTGTCAATTTGACCATGATGTTTTTCTTATTGATGGGAATCATGTATGTTTGTAGTTGTATCAATAGCCGTTCCGGATATGAACGATTAAGATGATCTTCTATCCTAATTTTAAAGTTAAAAATTTTTACACAAATATCCACTTTTATGAAAATACAATTATCTTACTTTTTACTAATAATAATAACACTTTGATTACATTTGTAAAATCATAATATTATTTTATTTTATTGGAATCAAAAATGAATGAGCCGATTTCCAATTCGAACGATTAAAACACAATGAGTAACAATCGCGATACTCAAAACAATCGATTATTAATGATTTCCTTTTCGCCACAACATTTCACCTTTTTCGTTTTGGTTTATTTTTTCAAAATTTATTGTTTTTTGTTTGAGTTCAAAAAAATGGATACAATTTGGCTTATTTGTATTTTCATATCATTTCTTATACTTTTAATGATATTTATTGCTGCGATCGCTATGAAAGGTGAGTTGAGCATTTTTTTTTTCCTTGTTTTTAATTTCATTTTTAATACTTTTGATCAGTTTCTAAACTACAACGATCAGCATGTCAAACACGAGAACAATTAACTATGTTAGAAGCAAGTATGGTCAAAGTTGTATCTCATATCACAAATGATTTGAAAATAATGGCTAATACTGATAATTTATCAGCGGAAAAAAATTCTTTTCAATGTGAACGACAAAAACAACGTCGACTTGAAACATTCGGTTCGATTAGCTCTAAACATCGTAATAGCTTGCGAAATTTGAAGCCGCTTTTACGCTTTCATTCAAGATCCTCTTCTAAATGTCTAAGCATTCATCAAATCAATGATCATGACAAAAAAAATATCAACGGAACTAGTTTCAGACCACTGGATACAGAAAACTTTCCATTCGTTAGCCGTGAAGACTCTTGTATTATCAATGTAATCAATGAAGATCTCGAATCTAAATTGCATGGGAATTCAGCAACAAAAGAACGATCATCTACAAATTATTCAATGAATTCCCGTAAATCTCCGAATATAAATGGCGATGTAGAAGGATTAAAACAATTGGATACATATGTCGATCATCATAAACCAAGTGATTGTTCATCTCAAAAATTGTTTGAATCAGTTAAAGAAGAATTTGATAAATCTTTTAATCGTGTGATGGATGTTGTAAATCAAGAGAATACCGTGGACTTTGATACTGATTCAGAATAATCATTCTTTGTTTATCAGCTTAATTTATATTAAGTTTTTTGTATTATCATTGATATTTAGATTTTTTTTCACTTTCACTTTTACAATTTCTTTTTCTATTCAATAAGCTTTGTTTCTTTGGTCTTTTTATCATAATCGTTTCAATGAAGATTTAATTTTTAATTGTTTCTGAATTTTGAATATCACTATATAAACTCAATTGTATGCGATTTAGGTGTGAATAGCTGACTATCCAAACACGCTAAAATATTACACACGTGATTTTTTAATTTTGTTTTAGTTTTCGACAAATTTGTGTTTAATTTTTTTGAAACCAAAGAAAAAAAACGATGCCTTTTTTTATTCGCAATAAAGCTAAATCATTAAAAAACAAGGTTTTATTTTATTTATTGCAAAATTTTCTTTTATTTATTTATTTTGGTTTTCAAAATTCTAGACACGCGTCCAAAATGGTCATACAGGTAATAAAAAATTTAAATCATCCAAAAAAGTTCAACAAAACGATTTAGATGATGAAATTCTTAGTGACGATCTTGAAGACGATGAAGATGATATTGTGAGTGAGAATGATTTATTGGATGAAGGTGATGATGATAGCGGTCGAAGAAAAAAACGAAAAAATGATGAAACAATTGAAGATTCTGAAGATGAAAATGAAACTGCACAAGAGAAAAAAATTCGTTTAGCTAAAAAATATCTTTCACAATTGGAACAATCGGAAATATTTGGTAACAAAAAAGATGATGAAGAAGATGAATCTGATGAGGATCGTTCCAATCTTATATCATCACACCTAAAGGAATCTGTTTTAGAAAAATTGGGCAAACTACACCGAGCTGTTGCCCATCGTTATAGTTCGGTTGATTTGTCTAAATTAATTGTGATGAAAAATGGTCACAAGAAATCCATTACAGCTGTGGTCGTCAGTAATGATGGTTGTTTTGTATTTAGTGCATCAAAAGATTGTAATCTTGTAAAATGGAATCTTAAGAACGGTAAACGTTTACAAACTGTTCAGGGCAACCATCGAGCCAATCCTGAAACCTATAACAAAGGTCATACAGCCAGTATACAAGCATTAGCTTTGTCTACGGATTTTAAATTTTTAGCTTCTGGCTGTAAAAACAAAGTAATTCATATATGGAACCCAGAGAATATGGCTCATCTTCATACTTTTCGTGGACATCGTGGACCGATTACAGGTCTTGCATTTCGACGATCATTTCATCAACTGTTCAGTTGTTCTGAGGATAGAATGGTAAAAGTTTGGAATTTAGATGAAATGGGTTATGTTGAAAGTTTATTTGGTCATCATGATACAATCACATCAATCGATTCGTTTGTGCGTGAACGTTGCATTACATCGGGTGGTCGTGATGGTACTATTAGATTGTGGAAAATACCCGAAGAATCAAATCTCATTTTTCTAACCGGTGGTAAGGCCACTGTTGACTTTGTCCGATTTATCGATGAATCTCATTTCCTTTCGGCTGCTGATGATGGATCAATATCATTATGGGCCATATTTAAAAAGAAACCTATACAAACTGTTTCGAATGGACACAAACCTGAACATTGGATTACATCATTAGCATCGTTAAGAAATACTGATCTTTTTGCTTCAGGTATTCATATCTCTATTGTTTTTTTAAAATATAATGCTATTATTGCTTTTATTTTCAGGTTCACATGATGGTCGTATTATATTTTGGAAAATTAAACCTGATTTTAAAGGTTTTGAACAATTATTCGATTATAAGGTCGATGGATTCATTAATGCAATGGAATTTACTACTGATGGTCATTATCTGATAGCCGCCATATCACAAGAACATCGTTTAGGTAGATGGTTTGAACGATTTAAAAATGTTCATAATGTTATTCATATAATACCACTTTCATTCATCGAATCGAATAAATGTGATTGAATTTTCATTTTTCTTTCAAATATAAAATTATTTTTATGTAAATAAATTCATTAACATTCAATAAGTTTGATGTCAATAAAAGGCCGTTTCTATTTTTTTCATCATTGTTTTGTGTTTATTTTTCAAAGAAAAAAAATGATGATGAATCTATATGGCAAGCATCAATTTTTCATTTTAGCACTTTTTGATTTGATCAATAGATATTATGGTGATTAATGGCTAGCTGCGTTCGCACAGAAACGAACACACACAAAAAAAGGGCAACGATCTCTTAATCACGGATTCTAATCGAAATGAATCTAAAACTGAATTTGATTTTGTTTGAAAGCCGACCATATCAATGAATCAATAAAAAAAAGGTTATTATTAAACACCTGTTTGATAGAACGATTTTCATTTATCTGAGGAATATCACTATCATTTTGGGGTTTTATTTTTCTGGCTGAAAAGTCATTCACTTATTGTGATAAATAGCTTGTCTATTTGTTTAAACAACAAGCCAATAAAATAGTTTTGATTGATTTACTTTTTATTCGTTTGTTTATAACGTTGATTGTTTTTTCCCAGCAACTGCATTTGCTTTATTTTTTTCATTGAAAAAGTAGAAATAAAAAATAACTGATTCAACTGGTTTGGTTTTGATCGTGATCAAATTATTGCAAAGTGAGAGTATGTTTATATTAGAACATAGATGACCATAGATAACCCTTCTTTAGGGTTTCATTCGCCTCATCATCTTAATCATGAATTTTCGTTTTCCTCGAATATAAAAACGAAAATTTTTCATTGCAGATTTAATACACGATCTCATCATTGAATTTTTCCATCAAATTTTATCCATTTTTTTCATCAAAAATCTCGATCATAATGTATTTCAAACAAGTATTTTTAAAGCTAATCATTGGTTTTTCATTTTTCTTATTATTTATTGAATGTACTGTTGAACAACCACATTGGTCGGTGAATAATATTCAATTTTCCAATATGATACGTCCGCAACTTTTATCATCATTCTCATCAAACATTGGAAAAGAATCCAAACCAAATCGTATGCCTAAAATGCATTCACAACGTACTTTGAAGCCATCAATGAAACAAGCAAAATTCCATCGAGTTGCATCCGATCGAAATTCGAACGCAAGAAGGATGGGTTTGTTTTCACGTTATCTAAAAGAACGACAAAATCAACGCCATTTATCGGCTTTCCTGATGTCATCGTTTGGATCAAAAGTTGTAAATGGAAATATTGAATAAATTGTTTTTGATAAAATAAAACTATATTTTTATTATTTTTATTATTATTCTTATTTCGATCATTGTATTTATTTCTATCTATAAAAAAAAAATTTGATCAAGACCATTCGATTTCAGTGGTCAATGTACCTGTGGCTGAACCATCAATCAGACGCATTGAATATGGATGTCCAAGATTACGACGATCGATCAATTCTTTGAGACGAAGATGAGTTCCGCCAATAAATTTTCCCGGTTTTCCACTAGGTGAACGTGATGTCGGTGTTGAATCATATGTCCATATTTCAAAAATTATTCTTGAATTTTGATTGATTGTATAACGTTCAGACATTGGGCATGGAGTGATATAAGTTGGTGTACGTGTTTCTTGCACTATATCACTTGAACAACTATAACATCGATTGATCCAATAATTATCTTCTAATGGTAAATGATGAATAGGTTCAGCAACATTGTTTAGCACACAGATCATCAAATATGTATCCTTTTCTGGTATGGACAAATCAGCTTTCGTAGAAAGAATTGTCAATTGGCCATTTTGACGATTAGAAGTTGGAAAAACATTCGGTGATGTTGGTGGTCCTTGATGGTGTGGTGGAACTTGTCGAGGTTTACATTGACCTGATTGACAAATATAATCAAGTCTATCAGCATTCGGTAAACTTAGACCACAAGATTGTCCAGAATTTACTTCTTGATGACGAATTTGATTAGTAAAATTACATTGAACTTTGCAACGAAAATTTGTAAAAAATGTTCCTTGTTCATCAGGATCGGTTTGATATAATGATCTACAATGAATTCGTGCTTCTTGTTCTTGTGGAAGAACAGCAAATATACCATGAATCATGGCCACTAAAGCAATCGAAAACAGAATCAACTTCAACATGTTGAATTTTGAATGGAAAAAAAAAATTCAGCTTCTTACAATAACGGGGAAAACAAATTGAAGGATTTGAACGATGACCGAACAAAGTCAAATCAGCATCAATTTCTCACGCTGTATTCTCTATCATATATGCAATGGATAGATATTGCATATATGATAATAACATTGATAATATGGATTTCAGCTATTAATTATTATCATTTTGGATAAAGTTTATTTACAATAAACACAATTTATTTGCTCTAATTTCGATCTTCATTTTCTAATAAAATGAAGAATTATCATCATAAAGATTGTTTCGAAACATGTACATTATTATTTGATTGTTGTTTTATTTGATTTCAAATGGAATTGATTTGTTTTCTTTTTTTTTATAATGATATTTGAAGATATTTGAGATGGATAATTTTCTACGATATATAAAAATCTACGTAATGGCTGCCTGGATACCAATTATCATTGACAAAAATCACGCACACACACATGCATACAAGGAGTGAATTTGGTTAAAATTATTTCCATGAAGAATTTTTTTGTTGAAAAAATTATAATTCTCAATAAAATGTCTGAATGATGTCGATTTTTTTTTATATCATCATTGGAATTTTGTTTATCCTAAGTGTCAAGGAAAAAAATTCCATAAAATTTTTCTTAATAAAACAAATCAAACGAACAAACAAAAAAAAAATCGTATGTTTCAAAAACCCATTATCATTTACAATTGACATACAGCAATTTTTATAGTGATGATCGGATATCTTTTAGTTTTATTATTACTGATTACAGCGAATGTATTGTTTGTAGATGTACAAAAAATCATATGAAATCAACACACACAAAATCTCAATTACAATGACAAACATCAATGGACCAATGATGATGACAATTTAATAATCTTAATAATAATAAAAAATTTAACACGTATATAAATTCATAATTGTAGCCCCAGAAAAATGTTTCTTTTCATGATTAACATTCCATTGATTGTTTGATGTTTGCTGTTTGTTGTTGAAATAACTTAAATGTTTATGCCAATTATATATGTCATGATGACAAATTTAACAATGGTAAATGAAATGAATTTTGATGAATTTGAAATGAATAATTTGATGAAAATCTTTTTTAAAACTATAGGATCAAAATGAATTTCAAAATTCTAGACCAACAGTTTCAACGATTAATGAATTGGAAACAATGGTTGATGATAATTCGAAAATAAAATCACCACCATCATTGATGAAGAAAAAACGAACTAAACGTTCTTCATCGCTTACATTGTCAACAAAAAAATTGATAAAAAAATTTGTTCCACGTGTATCATTACCATCGATCGATAATCATGGTATGATTCGAATGATAATCAAACCAAATCATTCATCACAATCATTAAAAATGCCGAACGATAATGAAGACATTTTCATGTTGACAAAAAAATCTAAAAAACATCGAAAATTAGGAGTACTAAAATCCGTTAACATGGATGTTGATATTCAAGAACATCGATTCAAAAATGTTTGCGGTAAGTCATCAAATTAAATGTTGATTCATCATTTTTTGTTGTTGTTGATAACTTTGGGCTAATGATTTGATAATTTTTATCAGATGATTATTATGATACAATTAATTCATCAAAAATTCAAGTTAACATTCTAAATGAAGCATACAACAAACTATCTGAATTGCAAAATCGATTCAAATTTGACGAACAAAATCGTGAGAATCAATCACCGGATAATCCGAATATATCCTCTAAAGATGATGATTTTGATTTAGAATTAGATTTTGATAAATTTTTAGCACAAAATCATCGAATGTTTGTAACATCGATCGAAGCAAAACAATATGAATATCTTTGTAATCGATTACATGATGAAACAATTGATGATGAAAATATAAAATGTGTTACACACCGTTTACAACGATTATGGCAATGTAGACAAACATCACGTCTAATATTTTTTTATGAAATGTTTTCATTCATGTTTAAACGATATTTGCAATTCAATACTTGTACACATCAAAAACCTTGTCCATCATCGGTAAACGTATCACGATTTCAACGATTTGCCATACCAATTTTACAAGAATTTACGAAAATTATCGATCCAAATAAAAGTATGATTTTACAGATTGAATTGTTAGCTGCTATTGAATCGTTAGTTTGCCATAAACAAGAATATTTAATAGCTGTAGCCGATGTTTTTGATCTATTGCTAAAATCACCATTAATAGAACCATGTGCATTTCCAAAATGGTCAAGATTGGAAGATCCAAACATTTATTTTTGTAATGATAAACAACATCAAAAAGTGATTAAATCAAAATCAAATATTTCGATCAAAAATGATCAAAAAGAAAAAGAAAAACAACAACAACAACAACCGGATACGATACCAACAATACGTGATCTCATCATTAAACAACTTGAAAACAATGGTATTCCTTTATCGAAAAAAAATCGAAATTCAATATCATAAAAAATGTTTAAAAAATAGTGTATTAAATTATTATCTTTGATCAATAAAAAATAATATGATTTTCTTTGAAATATTTACCTTGAAATATAGACACTAAATAAAATAAATGTCCATGGAAATTTGATCCAAATTATAATATTTTCGTTCGAAAAAGCAAAAGCGACATCTAATGATCATAAATAGAGATGATATTGATGAGGATCGAATATCATATGTGTTTTAATTTCAGATCTTTTAGTGATATAGAATATTATCATTATTTTTAGATTTAGCGATTATTATTATTTTTGTAAATTTTTAAAACTAGTTTATTCAACTTGATTGAATCATTATTTGTAGTAGCTCAATGCTACAATCAGCCTAAGCTGATCATTCATTATAGATTCTACTTTTTTTTGTATCTTTCTTTTCCGAGTTTTGAATTTTATAATTTGAGACAAAAATCCTTACTGAATATGGCTGGTATTAATTCAGATATGGTCATATTGACCGGGAATTCGCATAAAGAGTTTGCTAAATTGATTGCCGAACGATTGGGAGTAAGATTGGGTGCCTGTTCAATTTATCATTCATCAAATCGTGAAACGGTTGCCGAAATTGGAGATTCTGTTCGTGGTCGTGATGTTTATATTGTTCAGACTGGAGCCAAAGATGTTAACAATGTCGTCATGGAAGCATTGATTCTAGCGTATGCATGTAAAACATCTTCGGCCAAAAACATTGTTGGCGTTTTTCCTTACATGCCGTATTCGAAACAATCAAAAATGCGTAAACGTGGTTGTATTGCCGCCAAATTGATGGCCAAATTGTTTTGCAAATCAGGCTTCACTCATATAATCACAATGGATCTACATCAAAAAGAGGTTTTTTTTGAAAAAAATTTATTTCCTACCTTGTTTATGACATTAAGGTAAATTACTTTTCTGATAAAGGTCCAAGGTTTCTTCGACATTCCAGTCGATAATCTACGTGCATCACCATTTTTGTTGCAATATATACAAGAATCGATACCTGATTATCGTAATGCAGTGATTGTAGCCAAAGATCCTGGTTTAACCAAAAAAGCAACCTCATATGCTGAACGTTTACGATTGGGTATTGCAGTTATTCATGGTGAACAAAAAGTACCGGATTCTGATCAAATTGATGGCCGTTCATCTCCACCACCGCATAATCTAAGCACATCGCCATCTGCATCATCATCATCTCTTGAAAACCGAATCATTGATGTTCGACTGGACACAATACCAAGTTTAGCTGAAAAAAATAAACCACCGATGACTGTTGTAGGTGATGTTATGGGACGAATTGCTATCATTGTCGATGATCTTATTGATGATGTTGCTGCATTTGTGGCAGCAGCCGAAGTTCTTAAAGAACGTGGAGCCTATAAAATTTATGTATTAGCCACACATGGACTTTTAAGCCAAGATGCACCACGATTAATTGAAGAATCACCAATTAATGAAGTTGTTGTTACAAATACAGGTATGTTGAATTGTAGATTATTTACTGCTAATCTAACAAAAAAAAATTTTTTTCTTGCTTTTCAAATGAATAATTACAGTACCACATGAAGTACAAAAACTTCAATGTGGCAAAATCAAAACGGTAGACATTTCCATATTAATATCGGAAGCAATTCGTCGTATCCATAACAATGAATCAATGTCTTATCTTTTCCGTAATGTTACTTTGGAAGATTAAACATTTATGCCTGCCATTTCTTATTTTATCGCAATTCAATTTTTTTTTGAAAAATAAATATATTTACTAATTTGAAATTTTGGATCCCTAAATTTTGAATTATCAATTGTTTTCCAATGTTGTCCAATAAATATGGAATTTCCTATATCAATCAATGTTATATTCTAAACAAGAGTATTGTTCTTAATTACAATAATAATTTAAAAAAATCTGTCATTTGTCATTTTTGTCCAAAAACCAACGATTTTTTATAAAGATGCTTAAAAAGTTTTTTTTGTGAATAGAAAATGATGTTCTGCCAACGTCCATCACAATCGATACGAACGTGTTTTTTGTTCCATCAGTTCAATTATTATTGGCTTTGAGAGTGATGGGCGATTCTTGGCCAACAAACTCGTAAAAACGGTAAATTTTTTTTTCTTCTTCTTTATTTGCATAAATGGTAATGAAAATTTGTTGGGTAAATTCTATTTGAATTACAAAAAAAAAATTTGATAAAAATTGAAGAAAAATAAAAATTTTCAAACTCTTGATAACAAACTTATCGACAAGTTACATTATAATAAGAAAAAAAAGTGGTTTATTGAAGCAAAACCAGTTTCGAATGGTATTCACATTCACTCATCCATCATATCAAATCTAACAACGATAACTTTTAATACACTGTAACAACTAAGAGTTTTTTTTGTTGTTGGTTACTTTCCCACCATTTGTTTCTTTATTTCATGTTCATCATCGGCGTGTTTTTTTCTTCCATTTCGACCATTACCATTATTTTTCTAAATCAAACACATTTTTTTTTGTTGCGAAAAGTTCTATAAATCAGATTTGAAAAAATTTTCATTTTTCATTCTTCTTCATATATTACCCGGGATAAATTTCTATTTTAGTTTTTTTTCCATTTAGTTTTATTTCAATTCATTCTAAATCAAATATGGTTCAATTCGAAGGTAAATATCAACTGGAATCGAGCGAAAATTTCGATGAATTTCTCAAAGAACTTGGTAAGTATTCTTGGTGCTTTCTTTTTTTGCAAATCACTTATTTCAATTATCAATATTAGGAGTTGGATTCATTCTACGTAATCTGGCTAAAACAACAAAACCAACTATTGAAGTTGTCAAAGATGGTGACTATTGGGTTATTAAAACTCATACTTCATTGAAAACAACCGAAATTCGTTTTAAAATTGACGAAGAATTTGATGAATCACGAATGGATGGAAAAACTGTAAAAACTGTTGTTGTTATGGACGGTGATAATACTATGGTACAAACACAAAAAGGTGACAAAGAAGTTAAAATTATTCGTGAATTCAGTGAAACTCATTTGAAAACGGTAATTATTTGATTTTAATTTAAAGTTGAATTTCTCATCTAAATCTTATGAAAATTTTTTCTAGACTTGCATTGTTGGAGAAATAACTTCGGTTCGAGTATATAAACGATCTGTTTAATGTGGATGATTTTCATTGAAAACAAAGAAAAAAACGATGTGTGAATAACAAATTCATTCCTATCCGGTTAAAAAAATGGCACAAATTTTCAATTTTTTTCCCTTTAAAAAAAACATTTTCATTTCCAAACAAATGATATATAATAAAATTTTTATTTCATTTTAAAAATATTTACATTTACTTTGGTTTTTTTAACGAATTATAATAATAATAAGTAGAGCAAATAAATTCATACCACAATGGTATCTGATTTCGAATGACCATTTGAATTTGAATTTTTAACTTTTTTGTTTGTTTGTTTGATCAATGATGATGATGATGATAATGATGATGATGATCCATAAAATTGATGATGAAAATGATGTACATGATGTTGATGTTGTTGCAAATTATTATTCACTGTTAATGGTCTTAATTCATTTGATGATACTTGAAAACAATGTATAAATGAATATGTAAATGCTATTAATGAACAAATAATTAATACAAGACCAAAATAACCTAATGACCATGCTAACCAATCGGTTGTTGAATCAATCATTAAATCGGATGCAATACCCATTATTAATAGACCACCTAATAATGTTGCCATACCGAATGCATTTGGATCAAATAATGGTTCTTCATTTATGGTTAATGATTGTGAACTAGTAACGGCAATTGTTGACATTTTTTGTTTTGTTTTGTTTGACACTCAAACACTGAACTTATGAATGAAAAACAGATTGATATAATTTTAAAAGCAGGCTAAATTGAAAATTAAGTAAACTCAGATCTAATGCGTGCATCAACATCATCATCAACCCAAAACACTACCAATCGATATTTTTTTTTTCTTCTGATATTGATAATCCAATTTTGACGATATATTTGTTTTTCTTTCTTTCTCTGTTGCCTATGTTTCTATGTATGACAGTGTGGCGTTTTTTATTTATTTATAGCTATTCAAATGTTATGATAAAATTTTTTTTCCTTTAGAACTACTGCGATGAAGTTCATCATTGATTGATTGATTATCACAAGTGGTTAAGAAAGTATTGATTAGAAATTAAATAATAATAATGAAAAAAATATATATCAATTTCATTAAATCATTTTCATTATTATTGCATGATAAGATAGCAATTTTTTGAATTTCTGTTCTTCCGAATTCAATTCATTAAGTAAAATTGTTATAACCTTAACCCCCTTTTTTTTGTTCATTCAAAAATTCGGAAATCTGGGGAATTTTGGATCATTATTTGATTGGAAAAATAAAGAAGAAGAAAGATTCAACAGACGATAATGATGATGAGGTAATTCAAAATGGAAAATTTGCCGGGATTTCCCCTCAAGGCGATCGTCATTTTGTCTTGTTGTTGTTTTAAAATCCAATGTCAATGAGAGAAATACGTAAATAACAGAAAAAATTACAATTTTTGTGTGCTTTTGTATGTATGTGTGTAACACAACAGGAAAAAGGTTGTTGTTCTTAAGTTATTTATTTATATGATTTAACTAAGATGAACTATGTTTTTGGGAAAAAAAAATTTGAATCGACAATATCAATGTCACGGTTCGATTAACGATTGCTATCTTTGTTAAATTGTTTACGTTGTTGTGTTTTAATCATTTTTGTTTGAATGAATATTTCAAGCAAAAATCCAAACTATATATAAACTGTTTTACCACATTCACATTTTCATTATTTGAATCTTTTCATATTTGAATTTGATTGAATTGAAATTCCTGTGTGTTTTTGTCTTTCTTTGTTTGTGTGCAACTATCGATGGAGCTACGAAAATTTACTGTCCTAATATTCATCATTGCCGTTTTGGATCTGGTATCGGGAGCCCTTTTCAAACATAATGATCATTATCATCGATCATTGAATGAAAAATGTCCACCAAATAAAAAACAACGTATCATTTATGAACCATATCCGATATATAGAAAAGTACCTGTTTATAAATATGAAAAATATCCCGTTGAAATTCCGGTCAAAGTTCCTGTTTATATTAAAACAAAAAAACCATATGAACCAATTAGATCATTTTATGGTCGTGGTTTGACCGGTTCATCCAACCGTAACTCTCGATATGATCATGAATATACTAATAATGGTAATGATTATATTCGCGGTAACCATGGACGACGATTTGGACAATTAGGTTTTGGTGAACAAAATCCCGAGAATTATAGTGGAATTGGTCGTTTCAATCAAAATCAATATGATGATTCGGATTATAGAAAAGCTTGAATGGTATATAATTTTTTTTTGTTTTGTTTTATGGGAATGAAAACAAAAAAACTGCCAATCTTTTTTCTCCTGATTTTCTATCTATAAATAGTATCTGTACCATCATTATAATGCAAAAAATAAAATATAAATTTTCCCATTATTTTGAAATAAAAAACCAATTTTTTCTGATTATGACTAATAATAATCTTCATCGACTGTTCTAATTATGGGTTTTCAACAACAACAAAATACCAAACGAATCAAAATTTTTCAAATTTCTTTTATTTTTCCCCGTTGTATCCAAAATTGGTAAAAAATTGAAATTGGAATGGAATTTCAAGCTTCCGTAAAAATTACGCCCGTTCTAATTTATTTTTGTTTTTTCTGTCTGGATTGACAAAAACAATCAAGTTCAGTTGTGCATGAAAACATGCATGCAAATGTATTAAGGTATTAAGATGAAATCAATGGGATGTTGAAATTTTTTTGCTCTTGCTTTCCATCAATTAAATGAAATAATTATATTGGAAAATTACATCATTCTCAAGGTGTAAATGATTAGTTTGTTTTACCTATACGAAGTGAAAAAAAAATCATTCGATAAATGTCATACAAACAAACAGTCAAATTGAAATGTCAAATTTTGTAAATGTAAATTTTTTTCTTTATTTGTTGTTATCAACAATATTCGCTATTGAATCGAATGACGATGATCATCATCATCAACAACATCGGATGAATGAACAAAATTCCAATTTGATTTGTAAATCTGACAATGAAAATATTCCTGAAATTAAAATTCCAGTACCGGTTATTAAAGAAATACCTGAAATACGAATTATTCGAATACCGTATAAGGTTCAGGTAAAAATACCGATTTTTATACCGATCGATGAAAAAGAAACACAACGTGACTATTATGAAGGTAAACAACCATATAATGTTCGTGCTGATTTTCATTAATAAACAAGCAAACATTCAAACGAAAGATTGATAACTTTTTTCTCACAAATGATTAACATTTAACATTTAATTTTAAAATTATAATTAATGATTGATTAAACAAAACAAAAAAAAAAGTAAAAATCAAACAAGTTTCCAATTTGAATTGCATGTTTTATTGATTTATTGATTCGTGATGTTGTGCATAAGAGGTGTGTGTGTTTTAAATGGGTGATTGTTCGTTTAGGCAGAAAATGAAAGGTAAAACTTTTCTATAACTTGAAATAAAATTGATTATTTTTATATACAAGAGAATTGGTAACAACAAACTTAAATTTGGTTTGGAAACAAATAATCTACCATACAAATACCATTTTAGTTATAAACATTATAGTTATCATTAAAATGATCAAATGATGATTTGCAGTAGCAATTTGTATCGTACCATTACGACGATTACTGAACCAAGATCGTGAACCAGTTGATCGTCCAACACTTCCACCACCACCACCACCTCTTCCACCACCGGCACGTCCAACACGCATCGAGTATTGAATTCGATTCGCAACACATTTACGTAAAATCGGTATCCATAGATAACCATCCGTTTGATCACATCGTTCACGAATATCATCGATTTCCATAGTTAATTCGCTTAAACATTCTTGTTTCTGATCATCTATGTTTCATTATCATCATTATCATCTTTAATTTGAATCGAAAAAAAATTACTCATTTCATAACATACCTTTGAATCCAAATGCACATGAACATTTCCAATGATCATCATTGACAAATGTTTGTTGTTGTTCATGTTGTTGTTGTTTTTGTCGATAACATCCCGAACCAATAATCATTGAATAACATTGTGCACTATGTTGACATGATTGTCCAAGTTTTTTTCGTGGCAGACATTGATAAATATCAATACGTTTATGTTCATAATGTCGTTGTTTTTTATTACTAATATTATCATCATAAACATTATTATAGATATCGATATTGGAATCGAATGTTTGTTGTTCGTTTGATGAACAGATACATAGTTGTGATTCTTGATCACAACTAGCTGCTAATGGATGGCAACCATTATTTTCTGGATATGTAGTCATATTGCATCGATATATTGATGATATTAATGATAATGATAATGAAGATGATGATGGTAATATTGATGATGGCCATTGTTGTTGATTTTCAACTAAAATTGGCGAAATAGGTTGTGCTTGGACTTGTGTGCATTTTGATATGAATGATAATGATGATGGCCATGTTAACCAACTAAATAATGCAGAAAAAGTTATCCATTGAACAATATGTTTACTGAAATTAATAGCTAAAATTCTATTTTTTGAATGTAAATACTGTCGATATTTTTCGGAATCATTATGAATATTTATCGATATATCGTTGATAATCGATTGTTTTATGAATATGGTTGATAAATTTTTGAAAATTTTCATCATGTAAAATATTCAAAAAAAAGAAAAAAAATGAATTTTGATGGCAATATTCGTCGATTCTTTATTAGATTTTAGATCTAAGAAAATCATTAAAAAGAAGAAAGCAGTTTTTTGTGTGTGTATTGGGTGTGTATGGCAAATGAATGGTTAACGTGACATACACGTATTAAAACAAGAAAAAAAACAAGAGAAAATATTCTGTATCGTGTTCTGTAACAATGGAATGCCAATCATAAAATGATGAACCAACAACAACAACAACAACAACAAAAATATTGTTTCCTTTTCTTTTTATTGTTTTGTTTGGTAAATTGAAATATCAACTGAATATAGCAGCAGCAGCAGTAGGGTATGTTGGTTCATTGTTTCCTGGTCGACACAATCCTTTTTTTTCAGGAATCAAGGTAGAACCAGAAAAATATCAAGCCTGATCTCATCGGAATCCGTTTTTTTTTTTTTTTTTTTTTTGTTGTTTGGTTTTGTTTTGTGATTTTCCCCCA